CAGGACGACGAGCTGTAAAAAGTCACACCAGCAGAGCTTCAACTAGAACGAGGAGCCGTCGCTGGTATCGAACGGCGAGTTAATGAGCGAATCTTAAATCAGAGACTGTAATGTCACACAGTCTGGGACGGCTAATTAAAAAGTTCTGGATGAACAAACTGTTACCAAACACACCTGCTGCTACTTCAGCAGTTTTAGGTAATTAGAGGAAATTCACATAATCCAGATTATTTACAGGCACCATAAGCCTCTAATAATCCACATTGTGTTTTGCGGCCTGCAGGCAGCGTCGCTATTCATTTCTTCTGTGCCGCTGAGGTGATGTAAGTCCTTGAAGCGGACTTTAGCCCACAGGAGAGCGTCACGGCTTTATGGTGTGGCCATCCGGTCGTCTGCTGTGGAAGAGTCAACACACAACGCCGACAACAACACGACTCCCTGCTCAGGAACATGGCTGCTAACACGAGCTGTGTGATCGGCCCATATGGCGTCGGTGTGTGTGTCCATATGTGTGTGTGTGTTGGGGGAGGGGTGTGTCCGGTCGGTGATTATCTGCAAGAAGGAAAGTGGGCTGAACACCGACCGGTACTGGATCTGGGTTTGTATGATTTCATGTTCACAAGCAGCTCCTTCATCATGTGAAAGAACGTCACACAAATTCTGAATCTCACCGTTATTTGGGTTTTTGACAGAATAAAAAACTTGCTCTTTTTTAAAACTGCAATGCAATGAAACCGTAACAACAGAGGATTCTCAGTGTCAAAAGAACAAATAATGGATTCGTGTGAAGTTTTCAGAGTCACAGGTTTGGACTCGTGAGAGCGCCAAATTACAGAAATAAATCATCCATCCATCCATTTTCTATACACCGCTTAATCCTCACTAGGGTCGCGGGGGGGCTGGAGCCTATCCCAGCCGACTTAGGGTGAAGGCAGGGAACACCCTGGACAGGTCGCCAGTCCATCGCAGGGCTACACTTAGAGACAGACAACCAAGCACACTCACAGTCACACCTACGGACAATTTAGAGTCACCAATTAACCTCAACATGTTTTTGGACTGTGTGGGAGGAAGCCGGAGAACCCGGAGAGAACCCACGCTGCACGGGGAGAACATGCAAACTCCACGCAGAAAGATTCCGGTGCCCCCACCGGGACGCGAACCGGCAACCTTCTTGCTGCGAGGCAACAGTGCTATCAACTGCGCCACCTTGCAGCCCAGAAATAAATCAATAAAAGAATAATAAAAATAAAAGTGGAAATAAAAAGAAGAATACATATAATAATAACAATTTATTTATTTATTTATTTTTATTTTTAAAATTATTTTTTTTAATCATTTTTATTTTTTTATTTTTTCATTGTCTTTAAAATGACTTTTTCTTTTCTTTTCTTTTCTTTTCTTTTTTGCTTTAATATGGAGTAGTAAGAGCGCCAAATTACAAAAATAAATCAATAAAAGAATGATAAAACAAAAGTAGAAATAAAAAGAAAAATACATAAAATTTAAAAAATAAATAATGTGGCAATATAGAGAAATATTAATCAAAAATGAATCCATAAAAGACAAGGCAAATAAAAGTAGAAATATAAAGACAAATAAATAAAATAATAAAAATAATAGTAATTTGTTTGTTTTTATTATTATTTTCTTTTTTAAATGTATTTTTTTAAAAATCATTTTTAATTTTTTTTTAAAATTGTCTTTAAGTTATTTTTTGTTATTTTTTAAGTCTTTAAAAAAAATGTATTTATTTTGTATTTATTTTTGCTTTTAAAGCACTTTTTAAATGCGCCTAAATAGCCTGTTCTTTTATGGATTTATTTAGAGAACATTATATGATTTCATATCAATTCATGGGAGACTAAACATTTAATTTCATACTTATATTATTAATTATCCAGATAACAAGTCTGAGATCCACAGAAACTCATTTTAGCAAAAGAACAAAACAAAACAAACGTGAATGATTAAACCTGCATCATCTCTCTCTTTGCTGTTATAATAAATGAATAAAGACCAGTCCCCTGGTGGTTCCAGTCTAACGTGGGACTGGTCCCGCTGACTGTCCCAGCAGAAGCTCAGTTAGTGTTACAGCAGCAGCAGCAGCACTTGGCTCTGCTCTGATCACTTTATCTTTCCTCCTCACAAATCGGCCTCGTCGCGACCGGATCGTCTGTCCGAGACGCAGAAACCTCAGAGCTCCGGTGTTAACGGGGAGGAGGGTTTGCTCAGAGGTGACTGTGGTTCTGTTCTGATGTTACCTCGTGGACTAAACAGACACCTGAGTGCTGCTGCGCTCGGCGCCATCTAGTGGAGGAGAACCGCTCAGGCCACCCGCCTCCACCAGGGTCAAAGGCGACGTGGACCCGACCCGTTCAGCCTGAAAGTTCAGGGCAGGTGGAGCGAACTCACCGACCTGTGATGGTTAATCACTGCTCAGGATTGAGCCATAAGCAGCCCGGCTGATTCATTAAGACATTTTTAAAGCCTGATTTGATACTAAAGCTGCACAAATAAACGGGTTTGTGGGGTTTTATGTGCTAACGGACACTTCTGCAACACACTCAGTCAGCCAGTTATTAAAAATTAAACTAAATTAATAAAAATAATAACAACAACAACAATAATGCACTATTTAATTAAATCTGTTGTGTTTTCATGTATATTTTTGTTTGGTTGTCCCTTTAGTTCTAAATTCATCTCCTTTATTATTAATAATACAGCATTTTGTTAGCATTAACATCCACTAATGTCCACTAAAGTCGTGTTTTATATCATTTTTGCATGGTGCTAATCCCTAATGTGTCAATTATTGAAGTAAATTCACAACTTCATTAACACTAAAGGGTCTTAACATTAATATTTAAACTTGTTGGGTTGATTCTTCATCACAATTTTCCACCGGAAAGCACAACGCGTTACACCTAATGCTACTACGACGCTTTACAAAGTAGGTAGCGACAAAACAAACACAAACAAACAAACAAACAAAATATTAACAAATAAATAAATAGATTAAATATCAGGGAAAAATAACAGATCCAACAACGTCCCTCACAGAGAATTATACATCAACTCTGCAGTAATCGTCAATTTCACGGAACTTTTAAATGAATTTTAGCCCACGTTTGGGTTTTCTGGACCCACAACATTTGCCCCAAACTGCAGAGAAAGTGAGCGATAAGCAGGTGAACGTATGAATGAAATGATTGTTGAGGGAAGATAAAGCAGAGAAACTACAGGGGAACCAGCTCAGCATTCTGTTTCTTTATGGGGCTTCACTAAACCCAAGAACCTGGTTATCAGCTCGTTGAGTCAACAGAGTTCCTGGACGTATCTGTGAACACATTCCCGGGAACAGGCCGCCAAACATGGACAAGTCTAGAGCTGCAAACTAGAATCCCAAAGCGATACGAGGAAACTAGAGATATAATAAAAGATGCTGCAGCCGAAGCTGGAAGGAGGCTGATCGATTTCACCGCCCTGTAAGTGGATCTGATCACCAACAACCGTGGTTCTGTTCATTCATCCTGCTGCTCTGACGTCTAATTCTGATGTGTGAGAAAGTTTCCTCTTTGTTTTTTCAGCTGCAGCCCCGATAGCGTTAGCAGGAACGGACACAAAAACCTCATTCAAAGCGGTGAGCAGGTTTACGGCAAATCTTATCGGGTCAGAAAGTTCAGGGGTTTAGCGGTTTATTCGGTCTTTGTTTTGGGATTATATTGGTACACAAAGGATTACAGAACAACGAAACGGGCTTAAAATGTCTCAAAAACAAAGAAAGAATGTAAAGAAGACCGGCGACGCCTCCACTTAGGATGTAGGATCGTCGTGTTTGTGCTCAGCAAGGACAGGAAAAGGTTTCTACGGACTGTCTTCTATCTGAGCTGCCATTTTGTGAGAGAGCTGACCAGTTTGTAGACACTTTTGTAAACGTACTGATGTGTTATCTCGAACACAAAGTCCGGAGCAGGTTAGGTTTGCAGAACAATCATCCATCCATCCATCCATCCATCCATCCATCTTCTTCCGCTTATCTGGAGGCAGCAGCCTTACCTCCCGATCTGCAAACACCTCCTCCAGCTCTTCTGGGGGGACCCCTAGGCGTTCCCAGGCCAGTCGAGAGACATAGTCCCTCCAGCGTGTCCTGGGTCTTCCCCGAGGCCTCCTCCTGGTGGGACGAGCCTGGAACACCTCCCCAGGGAGGCGTCCAGGAGGCATCCGAAGCAGATGCCCGAGCCACCTCAGCTGGTTCCTTTCAACATGGAGGAGCAGCGGTTCGACTCCGAGCTCCTCCCGAGTGACCGAGCTCCTCACCCTATCTCTAAGGGAGCGCCCGGCCACCCTGCGGAGGCAACTCAATTCGGCAGCTTGTATCCGCGATCTCGTTCTTTCGGTCATTACCCAGATGTGGTGAGGGTTGGGATGTAGATTGACCGGTAAATGGAGAGCTTTGCTGTCTTGCTCAGCTCTCTCTTCACCACGACGGTCTGGTACAGCGACTACAACGCTGCACCGATCCGTCTGTACCTCACTCGTGAACAAGACCCCGAGATACTTGAACTCCTCCACTTGAGGCAAGGAGTCTCCACCGACCCGGAGAGGGCAAACCACCTTTCTCCGGTCGAGAACCATGGCCTCGGATTTGGAGGTGCTGATCCTCATCCCGCTCGCACCACACTCAGAACAACCAATCCTGAAAATTCAGACTTAAACCTGAAGCTAACACGATAACCTCAAATCCGGCTTCATAAGTAAAGACTTCTGGACATCGACTTTACGCTACAGGACTCATGGAGACGTTCAACTCCAGAAAGCCTCACGAGCAGCGTGAAAATCCTGCACAGTCGAATTCACCGCAGCGAGCTCATGAACGGATATCACGTCAGACGCTGTGTTTCCAGCTGACTCTGTCGCCTCCTGGTGGTTGAAACTTGAACTACTACAGCTGGTTGAGATCAGCTAACGGGTTGAATGACGAACACAAAAACACAGAATTAGTTGGAGATGAGTTTTAATCAGTTACAGACCGACTCCGATGTGAAGTCAGCAGCATTATTCCTGGAAGAAGAAGTGTCGATGCGTACACACACACACACACGCACACACACACACACACACACACACACACCCACACATACACACACACACAGCTGCTTTGGTATGTTCTGCGATGGTTTTTCCTACATTCGCTGCGCTGTCCATAAATACTGTACAAAAATAAAATGTACTTTGACATAAAACATCCCGTCTCCGTCGGTGGACTTCCGCTGAGGAAAAAACCGTAAAGCTCTTAATTGACATGTACAGTGTGCACTCTGAAGCACTGACATCATGTTAAATAGAATAAATTACATCTTGCAGTTGATGTGCGAGGCGTCTTTTCTTTCCCCCTCCTCGAGTCTCTGCAGCGTCTTTAAGTGTTATAATTCACATTCAAAGAAAAAGTAAATCCACACAAAGGGAGAAACAAGCTAGAAATCCAGGTTTTCAGGCTGGAAATAAACAACATCGTTTTCCAAGTCCTACACGATCGTCGCTCCGGTTCCACCCGACTCATGTGCTAAGCTTGAAATGCTGAAGTGCAAATATGAGTTCCACCTTTTTCCCCCTCACTGAGATGAAGGTGAATGGCTGTTTTTGTTTTTTTTCTTCCCCTCTGTGCTTCATTTTCACAGTTTGTCATGGCAGGCTCTCTCCACTAGGCGGAGCTCTCTCTCTCTCTCCCAGCAGGCAGTGTCTGAATCCATTCTTAGGCCCAGTTCAGCTTATCGCTCCTCCGCAGACTCTAAAGCCGACACGTCTGATATTTTCCGTGCGAGGAGGAGGAGGAGGAGGCGAGCTCGTAGAAGAGGACGTAGGCGTTGCTGCTGCGGACCTGGCTGGAGGACATCGGGCTCACCCTGCACACAACACACACACACACTGCAGTGAGCCGGTTGCACATTAATTTAAAACAGCCACCAGCGGGCACGTAGGGACGAGCACACGCCCCGATCTGCACATTTAATTTCAGCTGACACAACTTTATGGCGCCGGAATGAGGTCACTGCCGTTTAACAGCAGGTACACGCGGTTTAATTAGAGTGCACGGCGCTCCTGCCCATCTGATACGTGAGGTAATACGATGATGCGAGAGCCGATACCTGGAGTCATTGTAGCTGTACCACTCCCCCAGCGCCGCGTTCTTGCAGTAGGCTGTGTAATGGCCTCCCAGAGTGTTTCCAGAGTGGTTGGACACGGCGTACAGGTTGTAGACGGGACGCTCTGCGGGGAGACAGTCAGTCAGTCACATGCAGCCCATCTTAAGAATCAGCCGGCCTCCTTTTGTGGTGACGCCAAATACTCACCGCCGCTCTCTGTGGAAAACTCCCGCAGGTCCAGATCTTTGAGAGGGAAGTTGACGTAAGTGGAGAGTTTGCTGGCTCGGACGTTGGAGTCTGAGAAGCGCTTCAGGTCTGAGGGGAGTCACCGAGTCAAGGAACCCAACGAGTGTTGAATCTCACGTGTACTTCAACCAGATCACCAACAACATCAGCGTGGACCAACCTCCACATAAAAATGCCTCCTGCGCTTTAATTCAACAACAGCCCGACACTCTAAACCCTGAATTAATAAATACTTCTCATACTTGAAGCTACAGCATGCAGTTCCAGTCCAACACACTTTTTATTACATTTAGTAAATATCTCCCGCCAGCTGTGTGTTCTGTGTGAGCTGAAACTACAGATTGACCGGCTCTGTAAATGAGAAACAAAGCGGCTCGGCCTGATCAGATCGTGTACGTTAACCATCCAGACATGCAGCAGAGCCATACATCACCAATCATTCTCCAGAATCACGGATTTCACATCACTCCCTGCATTCCAGATCACATGCTTCTCCCTTTTTTTTTATTTCAGTACAACTCCTGTGAAATAGCTTCTAAACGCCCAGCTTCAAAAAACTACGAGACAAAGTTAGCAGCTAGCAAACAGCTAAATGGTGCAAAACTGCGAGGAAAGGATACGGAGCACGAGAATCTGAGGGAACTTCTGGATGCTGAACCTCTTGGTGCATTTTCTTCTGGCTTTGCATCTGTTGCAGGTCTGAGACAGAGACAGACGCAGTGAGGAGGTGCAGATTTCATCGCCTTCACTGAGGATTGTGGCGTCGCGTCGAGAACACTTACCGGCCGTTCTTCTCCGTCCAACACGTCTTCTTTCGTAAAGAGTCTCAAGCAGTCTTTGAGAGTCACTTCACCGGAGCTCTTCTGTGGAGGAACAGAGCGCGCTCAGTCAGAAATCTGTACAATCAACTCATTAACACCTGATGATTCATATCTGAGCATCTGGTCCAAACATGACTGGCTTTTGTTTGCAGACAGTTAATGTGGTTAAAACAACTCGTAGCATCGTTTCTTTAGAAGCATAAACCCAGTGAAGGACACAGCGGCCATTTAAACCCGTTGACGGTCAGAATATGACATCCTGTGTGTAAGAACATCTCCTGACCTGTGCAATCGGGATGGAAAGGTCCCAGAATGGATCGAACACAGTGGAGCGGAAGCCACAGACGGTGCAGGTCAGAGAGCTTTTCAGCTGCCCCACAAACAGGTCTGCGAACAAGGACGGAAAACGACATTTAACACACATGTATGCACAGGTGGACATTTGAGGTGGTTTGAGGAGATCATGCAGCGACATCTGGAGGGTCACTCACCCACTACTTTGCTGTCTTCTCTCTGCAAGTACATGTTCCACATCCGCCGGCCTTTCTCATCATCCCTGCAGAGAAAACCAGCAGATCTTCACTAAACCTGACACCATCGGTCCTCCAGGTTAAAGCCGCTTTCAGACGCATTTGTGTTTCTAAAATGGCCGCGTGACTGACAAAACTCTCAGGACGAATCAGTTACATCACAATTATAAATCATTAGGCGGGTTATTGCCGCCCGCTGTCCGACCATCAGTCACGCTGCAGCGGATCTTTGGCAGAAACAGTCTTTAACACGTCGGGTTATGAGTGACTCATTGGGGTCAGAGGTGCGACGTGTCCGACTTACGAAAGGTGGTCAAAGTCCTCGACAGACACTTTTGGGCGGACGGTCACTCTGTTCACCTCGTTGTGGAGGCCGTCCAATAGGCAGCGCAGAAACTCCTGGGCGTCCTGCTGACTGCAGAGGGAGGATTGTATTTAACTTTATGGTCGTTATATAAACATTTAACAGCTATTCCTGACCCACATTAAATGCATTGTGAAGCCGGAGGTAGGGAGGGAGGACTTACTTGCAGCCAACGAATTTTGGAGCAAATTTCTGGATCTGGCTTCTGAAATCAGAGGGACTGATGGCCTCATTGTTCATGGACGTCCACAGACACTGAGTCAGCTTCGCAAACTCTAAAAGACAGAAAACAAAAACAAACAAAATGAGACAACAATCACGACAAAAACACGTCTGGGTTCCTGTCGTCCTGGAGATTGTACAAATAGCTCGAATTTAAAAATGGTGACATCGCTCTTAAAATCCCTCACATTTAAAAATTCTCCAAAAAATAAACCATTAGCTCAAAGTAGATGCTGCGAAAAAATAAAAATTTTACGCTCCTGAGCAAAACCGTGAAGCTATGATTGATTGAGCTGCGACGAGCAGTCACGGGACAAAAATTCAGAGACTTCTTGACTTAACTCTTTGGTTTTACGCGAAGCAGACAGAAGACAAGGATGGAAACGAATTACAAATAGAAGTAGTGGAATATATTTGGTATAAAGAGACTTTTTTCTTTTTTTTTGTGATTCTAGCTGCACTTCAGACATTCCTTGTGTGTCCAAAAGTTCACAGTTTGTGTGTCCATAAAGGTGCAGGACTTATATTGCAGGTAATTGTGAGTTAAAATGTGACAGGAGCAGAAAAATGGGTGAAGAGTTCAAAGACCAGAGAGCATAAAAGTGCACGTAAACCTAGAATGTGTGACCCACTGCTGCTCCGTGGAGCGGTTCAGCACCGACATAAACACTGTTCAGGTTCACGACGAGGCTGCTAGCGTGTGATTTAGCGGCTCAGAGGTCGCGCCTACCTTCCATGAGAGCAGCGTTTGTCCTGCAGTTGTTGTTGAGGTCGGCGTGATGGATGTTTCTCAGGCAGTAATCTCTCAGCTCGGAGGTGTTGCTCAGACACTGGAGGATGCAGTTCATGAAACACTGGAAATAAGGCAAAAGCAACAACACAGGAGTCACTCTGAGTGAAGATCTGGAGGCATGCGGTGGCTTCAGCGTGATTGTAGAGCTTCCAGAGGACACTTACTGTGTTGCCCAGGTTCTTGAGACCCACCAGGCCCTGAGGACTCTTGTTCTGCTCGGAGACAAACACAAGTGGTTTGTTGGGAGGGCGATGAAAAGTTTAACAGGTACCTGATTAAAGTTTTACACAGCTGACAGACAGAGGATCAGTCGAGCTAATTTGTTCAACAATCGATTTCCCGAAGGGTTTAGGAAACGATGGGAGCGGACTACAAATGCTCAGCTTGCTTTTCGTTGACTTTATGAATAAAAACGCCAAAACATGCAGCTGAAGCTTCTCCGTTGGCTCCACAGAGGCCCAACATGTGTGACGTAGTGATGACCGAAAGATCTGAGTTTAACACAAACACAAAAGACTTCCTGAAGTAGGACCATGTGCTGAAACTATTTGGCCAATCAGATGAAGCCTCAGCGTTCAGCGTTTGGTGGCATTTGTGAGGTTGAGACAGAAGATAAGAAGGAAAATAAGTTTTTGTTAAGTTTAAAGGAAAACATGTCATAGGACGCAGTTATGGAGCAATGAGAGAGTTCAGAATTACAATAAATCAATAAAAAGAATACAAAAAAAATAAAAGTGGAAATAAAAAGAAGAATAAATAAAATAAAAAATAAATAATGTGGCAACATAAAGCAATATTAATCAAAGATGAATTTATAAAAGAAAAGGCTAATAAAGGTAGAAATATAAAGACAAATAAAATAATAAATATGTATTTATTTACATTATTTAACAAAATATTTAAATCAATTTTTATTAATTTTTACATTTATTTACTTTTATTTTCATTTTTGTATTTTTATTTTTTATGTCACTTTAAAAGCAAAAGCACAACGACATTCCTACGGCGCACATTTTTCTGCGCATATTTCCTTTGTTTTTAAAGCGACATTTAAAAAGTGCTTTAAAAGAAAAATAAATCAATAAAAAATAAATACATTAAAATAAAAAAAACATTTAAAAAAGAAATTTCAAAAATAACTAAGAAACAACTTGAAATAAAACAAATAAAACAATTTAAAAAGACAAAAAATAAAAAATAAATTAATTAAAAAAACTATTATTATTTATATTATTTTATTTATTTGTCCTTACATTTCTAATTTATTAGCCTTTTCTTTTATGGATTCATTTTTGATTAATATTGCCGCATTATTTATTATTTATTATATTTTATTTATTCTTCTTTGTATTTCCACTTTTATTTCATTATTCTTTCATTGATTTATTTTTGTCTTCTGGCGCTCTCACTGCTCCGTACGCAGCAGGTGAACTCCTAATTTTTCTTTAAAATAATGTTCTGTTTAACTGTTCATATGTTCATGTGCAAATCTGTTCAAGAAAAGCATCTTCCTGATAATTTATTTAATCTCTGAATTCAGTGAGCGTGCAGAAGGCCGTTTAATGTTCGTATCTATGCTCGTCCCTGTAAAAGCACAAAGACTCGTCACTGTGCAGCTTTTATGCTGCTTTATTTATTAAAAGTCATATCGTCTTTGCCGTATTGAAGAACGCTGTGGCACATTTGTCCTCATATGGTACAGACCTACTGCAAATGTGGATCTTTTTTGGAGCAAACAAGCCTAATTAGCTAACTAATTAGCCATCTTAAGGTCGGCCATGTTGCAATCCACTTCATATGTTTGGGCTAAAGTGGGTTTGTTCAGGGCCAAACTAGGGATGGAAGTTGTGTTACCAGGGGCCACAACGAAACTATTGTTCTCTGTGTTACTGGAAACTACAAACAGGTGACAAACGAAAGGAAAAACCAACATAAAGCTGCTACCAGGTGCCACCAGAGGAGCTTTACTGCTTCTTGGCATTGACTCTGGACGTCTGTGAAACTCTAATGAAGGAACGAACGCCGTCATTCAAAGAGATGTTCCGTCATTTGGCCTTTTAACAAAGAGCGAACACATCGGTGAGAAAAGCTCTGACAGGTGATTGGTCTGCGTGACATTCACATCATTTTAATGGAACCATTCAATGACCCAAAGTGGTCACCTTGAACAACTCTGTCTTGATCTCCAGTGCCAGCAAAACGCCCTCCTAGCACGACGGAAACACCCGATCCCGTCACCGCAGAGGTCAAAGGTTCAGGGTTTCCTTTAATTCGTCCGTCAATTCAAAGAATACGGAGTCACACGCCGACGCTGAAGCACCACATGCTGCAAGTTTCCACATGAAATGAAGCTCCAGATATTCACTCTGCAGTAAATACCGACAGCTCAGCTCGTGTGATCAAACTACTGTACGGCTGTAATCCTGTTTCATTCCCGAAGCGTGAACAAGCCTCGCAGGGCGGCGCGGCATTCATTCGCCGCATACCGTACCACAGTCACATTGTTGGCAGGGACGCGTCGCGGATGTCGGCTACTGTTGTGAACGCTTTGATGAGGCGCCGCAGCACATCCTGACCTCCGGCTGCACCGACCAACGCGCCGCCGCCGCGACGTCACTCCGGCATGTGACGCCGAGCCGAGAGAAGAGCTCGATGCCCGGGTCACGGATCGACTAGTTGGGAGTCGATCATCACGGAGCCGCTGCTGCACATCTGCTGACAGCGTTTGTAAAAATACACGGAGGCTCATGATTCATGTGTGACCACGACGCTACACAAATATCCACCGATGCTCATGTGTGGGTGGAACGAATCAGAGGAGACATTTAGAAAACTGGTGGCGTTCAAAAACAACGAACTGATGAGTGAAACAGGCTTCTACACATTTAGCAGCTCAGAGTGGAATAAGCAAAAATCCCACGACAAAAACAACCAGTTACATCATTAGCCGTCACCCCGATCCAAACCCGGTCGACACACGTCAGCCAAAGCTCATAAACGCTTTGTGCGCCGTGTTGCGTGTCAACAGTCCCGTGACCTGTTGCTTGTCCTGAATGAGGGAACACGATGACGCTGACGGCTCAGGAGTGGAAATAAGACAGCAAACACGATGATGGAAGCACAAATATGAACCACAAAGCAGCAGCGTCAGCTCCCTGTTTTCCTTCACACCAAACAGAACACGCTGTTGTGTTGTGGTTTATTCTTAATTGTGCACAAAGCAGAAGAAACAGAAGAAATCTCCTCTGGCACTTCTGCTATCTTAGTAACTGGGTTTTTATCTGCGCTGCTGTGGTCAGATGTACAGATACGAGGCGTAAATCATCCGACTGTGCCGTTTTCCTTATCGAGGCCGTCGGTGGAGAGATTTAGTGAGTTGTCTCGCTGTCACAGAAGCTTTCCAGCTCTCAAAATAGACCAAAAACAGACAACACTAGCTATTAACAGCCCTCTTGGCTTGTGTATTTTTCTTCCCCCCTTTGTGTGTCTCTTCTTCTCTGCAGCGTTTGAAGGTGACCATATGGTGCGAGCCCCAATCTGCTGCACTGCTCCGGTGAGGGCCGACCGGCAGGACTCAGCGGGCCGCTCCTGATTTAAAAGGCCCGTCCAAAAAAGCCGAGCAGGCGACGCGCTCAGGTAATCCGAACAACAACAACAACGCTCTCCGCTGGTTGGCGTGACTTCAGAGGGAGAGAGCGGGGGAACGCAATGTCCTAAAGCCTGGTCAAGGCCATATAACATGTGACGAAGGAAGCGACACACACGGTGCCAGCGATGCCACTCCCTTGGATACGACGTAAACAAATCTTTGCTGTATGACGGCGAGGCTGGGAGACGTCCAGAACACTGGCACCGTCCTGGAACCGTGTCAGGAAGAGAAATAACAAATAAGACAGATGCTCTATTTTAAAAAGCGTTTTAAATGTACTTAAAGTGACGTTGCTCTTGAGAAATGGCCCCGTGGTGTTCTCAGCTCACCGACAGGCTGAACGGGCAGCTCCACATGTTTGTGGACAGCTGACAAAAGTCGCAGCGCCGTGTCGAATGGTCTGACTGCACCGCCGCATCAGTTTGTTAGAGGAGAAGAAAAAACAACATCATTCACAGCTGTTTTGGCCGGAGTTCAGCAACGTCTCCTTGAAACAGCGACGGGGGGAAATGCAGGGAGGAGGCATCATCATCAAAACGGCAGGCCGACTAATTGGGCGATCCAGGGCTGCCATCGTTGCTAAATTTGGGATTTTGTAACACGTAGATAGTGAAAGGGAGGAAAACATGTTCAGCTAACGGCAGCCTTACACCCACAGTCTACATCCAGACTAGCAAACACGCCATAAGCTTGAGGCTATCTGACCACTACAGATATAGGACACAGTTAGTTGGTAAATTGATTAATCGTACATTTGTTGCACCTATTTTGATATTTGTTGAGTCCTTGTGGTTCTTTTCTCCCGATTGGGGTCCAATCAAGCTGCACCAGCATCCGATTCTGGAAACTACTTCACACCAGACTTGGTATGGCAGCGCAATACTGTAATTATAAGTTCTTTAGTGGGTTCAAAATTCCTAAATTAAATGAATATCTTTTTTTTGTTGTTGTTGTCCGACTAGCATCCACTGCCTCGGCTTCTCCGTTGGTACCTCCAAGTGAGTTATTCAGTTGAGTCATCTTTCCAAAGCATAAACGCCAAAATACTCCTGCTTGTCTTATGTGACAGTAAACAGGATATCTTTGGATACCTGGTCAGACCACAGAGACAACATCATGACATCAGGTGTGAGAAACGGTACTCGACATGTTTGGAAGTGTTTTCTGACGCGTTTAAGCGATTCACCGAGAATCTCAAAAACTTCTGAGTAATCCCTTCACCAGATTTGATCATAATCCACCCGGTAGCGGTTGAGATTCTTCGCGCAGGACTGAACCGGTGCGTTCGCTCACAGGACGCGAGTTGAAGCAAAATTGCTGGTTACACAAAACTACTGAGAAACGTTAATGAGACGCTGCGTGTTGAGCGTAAACAGGAGCTCTGGGGAGCAGCGATCTCATGTGCACACCTGTAATATTCCCCTCGGGGTCAACAGGGACAAACACTGGGAGTGCAGCCGGTGGCCTGAAGCCCTCACGGACACAAACATGTGCAGCCGGCTGTGGGCAGCGCACAAGATGTCCTGTGCAGACGATACGTTCCTTATCAGCAGCTCTGCTTCCGATTATGCAACCAGCGTCACACTTGAATTCTCACTTTGATGCAACTCTCTGCAATGTGCTGCTGCTGCCGGTGTGTGTGTGTGTGTGTGTGTGTGTGTGTGTGTGTTTACAGCTCAGCTATTCTCCACCGAGTCGCTGATAAAACCCTAAAGGTCAGACTCAGACCTCCACAGTGTGTCTTTAGAGTTTAATAAGAACTAAACCGTTGTAGGTTTTGTCTCTCCTCCGGCATCACGGTGGTGTTTCTCTACTACACATGCATCATTGCTTCCACTTTCAGTACGACAGCTGTGAAGAAATGCCCCAAAACTATCACTATGAGCAGCTTAATGACTAAAATAAAACCTACACAAACATCAAACACACTTTCAGTCCAAATGTACACATTTTTGATTATGGATTATTTCATCAAAGTGAACACAATGAGGCTTTGCTGAACCTTTACTATTATTAATATGAAGGTGAGCAGTGACAGGTGTGCTGTGATTGTTTAAAAATACCAAAATCACACCATTTAGCAGAGCGAGAAACTGTAAAAACACAAATAATCGATGGATTTTCAACTTATTTATCTGTGACACGCAGACACTGAACCTTTAATCTGCATTTCTCATCTAAAAATGTGCCAAAAATAAATGTTATGCTCCAACCAGATTCTGTAAAATTAAAAAAAAAAATCCAACCAAGAAAGAAATGACGCTCCCCTGTGCAGCTGTGACGTCATGACGCACTCAGGTGAGACCAACAGCTACGTAACCAGAACTTTTTGGCTGAACTGAGTTTGCACAGTGCAGCTCGAAAACAAATCAAACAGTCAAATATCTACAGCGTGTAGAGCCGCTGTGATGTTTCCCAGTGTTGGTAACACTTATGGGCACCTGGAGAAGCTGTACGAGTTGATTATTTTTGGTAAATCACAATTAAAATCAAAGCGTATTTCAGTTCTCTCTACTTCTGCTCACGGGTGACTTTATATTGCAGCATACTGGTGCCCAGAAACTGCCACAGTTACAGATGATATCCATCAACAGCTCAGCAAAGCTAAATCATGTCATTTTGAGGCTGCTGCAGCTCCTTGTCCAGGCTGAGGCCCCCGGACATGAACCTGGAATGTGCGCTGAAGCGCTTTAACGCATCCAAGCGCGTAAAACTTGCAGAAGTCTGTAAGAATCCGGCAGCAGGAGGAGGAAACAAGAGGAGGCTCCTCTATGAAATGTGACCAAAATGACGAGGCTCAGAGAAACGGTGCTGCAGGAGCGGAGGAGCGGAGGAGCAGCGCGCCGGACTCACCTTGGCCTGGTTGATGATCAGACCCATGAACGTGGACACCAGCGCGGAGCGGGACAGCTGCGGGTTCTTGCGCCGCAGCTCCGGCTTGTCCAGCGGGAAAGCGGCCGGTTCCTCCACCGCTGTCAGCGTGTAGGAGTGTCGCAGAGTCGGCATGTTGGCTGGATGCTGTTGAATGCTGTCCGAAGCCGGGACGGGTCGTGTGATCCAAAAGGCGGACAGAAGAATCCCGGAGACGAGCGGCTGTGACGGATCGATGAGGAGCAGCGTCCCTGCAGCCTTCAGCTCTGGTCCTGTCCGCACCTGCACACAGCACCACACCGAGCTGCTGTGATGAGGAGGTGGCGTGTGCTGGAGGTTTTACTGCGTGCACTGAACGTCCCCTCCCACTCGGAAAACACTGGTGCTGCCTTCAGGTGCTGTAGGAAACGTCAACACTGTGTTCAAGAGAAGAAACCGAGCAGTGGTGGAAAGAACTGAACTGTAGAACAACTGTGGAGGTGAAGACTGGACTTTAGTGGAGTATTTCCATTTTGTTCTCCGTTATAGTTCCACTCTCCTGCATTTCAGAGGGACGTTCACAGATTCTGCTCCACCACTGACAGCCGGAGAGAAGATTTCACACAACAAGCTTTGAAAACACACCAAAGAGTTCAGGATTAAACCAGAGCTTCCAGCCTTTGTGCATGTCGTGGAGTTCCCATCACAGATGTTGGTTTTTCTCTCCAAACATTTCATTGAATGTTTAAGTGATTAAATATCTCAGCTAAAATAAAGAAATAAATTTTTAAAAATTCGAGGAAAAAGTGTATTAGAGCTGTGGTTGCTTAAAAATAATGAGGAAAAAAAACCATAATAATAATAATAATAATAATAATAATAATAATACATTTTATTTGTATAGCGCTTTTCAGGAACTCAAATATGCTTCACAGGATAAAAGCAAAAAAGCAATAAAAGCAATAAACAACAAGCAACAAATACAAAGGTAGATAATATGGAAACACAGCAAGCTGTTTGTCCTGTTTGAATATTTACCAGAAACAAATGTGAGGCTCTGACTGGATTCTCTGTGAAGGTTAAGGTTCCTCTGAAGTCATGAGCGACACATTTCTGACCCACTCTTATGCAACAGGGACTCTGAGACGTCTCGGTTGAACTGCAGGTTGTGTTTTCAGACCTGCAGCAGTGAAACAGCAACAGGCTGCTGACGTGCTGCTGCTTTAACAGGGCTTCGCTCTGTTGCCCTCATTTGGCTCATTTGTTCTCAGCCGGACAACAAAACACTTCGATGTTTGTAGTTCAGCGGTGACGTCTAAACTGGAGGTCAAAGACTGCAGCGATGCCCCGCTTTACAAGTTTTTCTTCTTGTTTGAAGAAACAGGCGCTTAATCCCAAACCTTTCTTGTTTAATTACAATAAATCCCAAATTAATTACTGTTAAGTGTTAATAGATATGAAGTCATTGGCGGAAATGAAAGATTCGCCTCATTTCAGCGCATGAGCAAACTGAAAGCAGTCGTCTGCAGCCACCACACCGATGCTCCACTCATCCACTGGTGTCTTGTAACACTGATGTGCTTTGACTTCAAATAGAAGTTAGATAAATGTAGTAACTACGATAATCTGACCCTTAACAACAACTTCATACGACCCAAAAGTGTCCTGAATGCACACAAGAGGACACAACCATAGATATGTATAATAAAGGCTTGATGTCTGGTCAGCCAATGGAATGGCAGGACCACACTGGCGGCCATCTTGGTACAGGACGCTCGCTCACCCATAACATTGTGTTGTAGTGGTTCATGTACTTTTTAAAAACCATAACTTGCTCAGCTTTCTACTGATTTTCAGACGGTTTGGTTTGTTATAAGAGGTGTAGTAGTTATAACTCTGCACTGATGGATAATGATGTTACACTCTCACGGCCAGCAACAATTAGTGTTTTAATTGTTTTGTATTTTATTTGTATTTTTGTGATTTAAGTTGTAGCCATGCTAGTAATGTTTGTAAGAAACCAAACCGTCAAGATTTCAGCGAGATCAGAGTATTTACGTTTGTGCCGATCACTCGCCTTCCTTCACGCCAGAGAGCTGCCCCGAATCAAGATGGCCGAAGGCTGATCCCGTTCAAAACGCCGCCTTAAAACATCTGGCCTTTATTATACATATCTATGGCGGAGCGTATCTGCCACTCCCTCACTGCCGCCACCGATGGAGGAAACAGAAGTGTGAGCGCTAACTAAACTAGCATCAGCAGCCAAGTACTGCCTGTGTGTTCTGGACACTTCCACCCCGTCAGAGCGCTGCCCCGGGATGGAAGTGTCCATAACGTGCACCAGTGCACCGGTCAGTTAGTCGTGAAATCCAGCGATGTGTAGTGTTCCAACAATACACTGGTTATTATAACAACTATAGACAATAAATATGAACAACTAATGAGCCTTCCAGCATCAAGCCCTCCTCGTATCTGGACCTCCGTCTTGACAATCCGACATAAAAGCAGGTTTTACATTTAGTGTCGGATTATCGAGTCACGACTGTACAAGCAGTAAAACAGAAAAGTAGAACAAACAGGATATTCAGATTTATGGTGGCAATGATCCTCAAACGTAATAAAAACTTGTTATTGTGCTGGAAAACAATATCATCATCAGTGTCTGATGTTTCAGCTTTTCTTCCTACAAGTTTTGCAAAAGTTCCTCAGAGTGAAGGACGGTTGAAGGTACTTCCATATTACGCTCCAGAAGCTTTCACTTGACTCCGTTTCAGACAAAGTGTTGGACTGTCTTCCGGCACTACAGTCGTACTTATTTACACATCCAGATTGACTGAATGCAAAATGTGATCAGCAAACAACTAGTTCTGCTTTATGTTATTTTCAAAATGGGCATTCTGACACGTTTAGGTTTTGGTATTTTAATTATGTTTTACTTAAGTACTTCTATTTAACTAAAAACGTGGGTGTGTGACTCGTAGCTATTCCTCAACAGTGGTTTCTATTCTATTTCTACGGCTGTAAGGACGATGGCTTCAGGTGGTTTAATGCCTAACATTTGAATGTGTTGAGATGTTTCCAGCAAAAATATATATATATGTATGTATTACACTATCTAGCATCAGCCCAGCTTCTGTATGGACCTTCTGCAAAGTGCAAGGTTTGAGTTTGTTCACACCTCCAGTCAGCATATCAGCGCTGATAAAACAGAAACAGCACAGAAAGCCCTTCAGCTGATGTGTTTTTAAGACTTTTAAGAATACTTTGCAGGTTTAAGTACAAAACAGAGATAAAGCTTCTTCTGCTCACAGTCACCGTTGTTTAATTCACAATAATTCTTCAACACTTTCACACCGAGGTGCAGGTTCGCTGTTTTCGCTGCCACAGAGAAGAACCGATAAAACTGGTTCTGAAGGATTCTGGTGGATAGAAAACGGACCACTGAAAACTGAGGCCTTCATCAGCTTTACTCCCCAAACGCTGCTGCGAGCAGAGAGTCGCGCTGACCTTGATTTTGATCTTTAGACTGTGGTTGTGATTTGACACAGAAACAGCTCTGAGGCTGATAAGAGGCTCGATAGCTGCCTCGTAAACCTCCACAGGTCCTTCAACCTTATACCTTCACTTTGATTGTGTGGCTGTAACCGAGAGAAATATAAAACCACAGAGCAAAGTCTAGCGTTCTCAATCATATCACATCAGAATCAGCTGATGAATCAGATTTGACACCTATGTGTGGGACAACATTGTACATGGAGACGTGACAATGGGTTTTTAATAAAGCACACAGTAATAAATAGTCGAGTTTGTTGGATGAAGTGACCGACCTGCTGGTCTAGACGCAGTTCATCGATCACATTTTGTGTGTGATGGATAAAAAAAGGCACAGGTTACCAATGTTAGGATCCGTCTTCTGGAGATCAAGAATAATTCCAACAAATCTCATTGACTGACTGATAAATCACAGCGTTTAGCCGTTCGCTCCCATCAAACCGCCACACCATGGAAACAATTATTGTACATAAAGTGCGTCAGTGAAGTAATACCTCAAACAATACTCATGTTCTAGCAAACCCAGCACCGTGTGAGGAAAGCCCATAATTAGCCACCCACATGCTCAGAAGAAGAATGTGATCTGCTCACTCTTCCATCAAGCCATCAACCATCTCTGCAGCTTTAACAGGAGAGACTCTTTTTTTTTTTATTCAGGTCAGATTGCAGGTTTATTGTGTCAGAATGAACTCATTTAGTGGCACTTCATGTGGGTGGAGGTGGAGAGGATTATCTGTCATATACTTTTGCAACACCTGCGGTCACTGGGCACAGTTTTTGGGTGTTATGTGTTCCGATTATACAACGCAACTAGTTTAAAAGACCAAACAGGTTACCGATTGTTCAGGGCTTGATAAATCTCTCTTCTCTTCAGCTATGCAAACAGTTGGTAGCAGCAGGGCCGAGCTAACCTGTCTTTGAAAGAGAACTATGTCGGGATCCTTCTTGTAGTGCTGACGCTGACTAATGTACTGATGTTTCATGTATGTTATGTTTACCGTTGCTGCGCTAACATTTGAAGAAAACCAGAAAAATACCCCACAAAGGACAGCTCAGGATGAACTAAGTGTTCCAGACGTTGTAATTTTGACCTGCTAGGAAGACGTAGGATTACTCGAGTTCTTACAGTTCCCACATAATAACACTTTCACTGCAGGGAGGGTAACATGAATTTTGGCATTTCCTTGAAGAATTTAAATATCGACCCCCCTGGTGGCATTACTAGTGGAAGTCAGGGCATCGCCAAAGCCTTTAGGTTTCATCGTCTATCCGTATGAAAGATATTTTAAAGAATTATTAACTGATGATCATTAATTTGGTTGAAAACAGAGCAGCCAGAAGACAGTGTGTCGTAGATTTGATGTAACGCCTGATGCCGCCACTAAATGCAAGGATGGCGTTCGACTTTATGCATCTCACAGGATGCAAGGCTCTGCTAAAGCGACCTAAACTCCATGACTTCACAAAGTCAGCATTACAGATCTGCAGTAGACGAGGCTGAACTTTTAAGGCTGCATCTCTGGGAGTGTTGGGGGCTCATAGTGCTTCCTCAGTTATTCAACTCAGGAGGTGGTACTGACGTGAAAAACAAGGGTTCTAGAAACGCAGTCCTGCAACCACGACCTTAAAACTTCAGCCTCCTCAGCTGTAGTCATGCTCCACTACTTCAAATCCTCGTGTGGTAGTCTGTGTGGACGCCTCTATGAAAGTCTGCATGCAACACAAAAGTCTACAGAGACAGTC